CAGAAAGACAAAAAAAGGATTTATTCCAACGTCTAATGCCTATCTTTGTCATTAGACATGCCTTCCATCAGGAATTCATCTCTATTTTGTGTACTGTGCTCAGGAGAGGCACCAAGCTGATGCTCTGTAAAATATCTGATGTGTCACCTTCTCGAGCCAATTCGCTAAGCTCCATGGCATGATCCACCTCCCCTTCCAACTGTTCCTCAGCTGCTATGGTGTCTTCTTCATCCTCAGCTATAAAAAGGAATGAAACAGAATTAACAGGGACAAAGATACAGTACCTTTAATGTAGAAAAAAACAAAACAAAAAGTAGCGACAGTCTGAAAGGTTAGGCAGGTCCAGACAACTCAATGGATAGGGGGCAGCCAGACAACATAAACAGGCCTAACCTTCATCCTCATTGGCAGTAAACTCTTCATCATCTTCATCTGGATGCCAGGGCTGTTTGTTACGCTGTGTGACAGAGGCAGGTCGAGACTTCACCTGTATGGCAAAGGATGAAAAGTGGGAGCACCTAAAGACCTGTCTTTTGTCTTTTTGAGACAGGGTCTGGCTAAGAAGTTCAGGCTGGCCTTGAACTCACTATGTAGCGCAGGCTGCCCTGAAGCTCACAGTGATGCCCCTGCCTTACCCTACCAAATGCTAGGATTTCAGGTGTGTACCCCTACACTAGGCAACTTCTAAGGCTGGAGAGTCAGGAAGGCATGACTAAGAATCACAAAATGGTGTCTGTCCCACTGAGTGACAGCTGCCACTGGTATAGTACCAGGGCAAGGATTCACACAAGGTTTTCTCTGAGCACCAGCTACCAAATCCTGGCCCCACTGCCCAGGGGAGGACCTGTGAAAGTGCTAAGAAATAAAGACCCCCCCCCCAACACCCAGATACATGAACAAAGAGAACACACAGATACACAAGAACATCAAGGTGACATTCCAGCTCCCATTTTATAAACCAGAGAAAGTATTGGGCATTTTGCCAAAGTGACAATGGTCAAAACAAGATCACACAGCAACTTAAAGAGGGAAGTATAGCTGGTCCAGTGGCACAACCTAGCTACTCTGGAGACAAGAGGACTCCAAGACTGAGGCCAGGCCAGGAAACTTAATGAAACTCTCCCAAAATTAATGACAATTTTGAAATTCTCTCAAAATTAGAAAATAAAAAGGCCTGGAGAGGTAGCTCAGAATTGCTTGGGTTCAATACCCAATATCACACACACACACACACACACACACACACACACACACACACTATACTACTTCTCTGCTACAGTATCAGATACTCTTCCAAATGTAAGCTACAGCTTAACAGAATCCAAACTTTCCCAGCTATCCCCAAATGACAGCACAAGCAACTCTCTTGGACTCTCAAAAACCAGTCAACCTCAGAGTCCATGACTCTCCCTGCGCTCCTCGCCTTAGCCCTCTCCATCTCTCCTGCTTATACCTCCAAAAGCTGAGGAGGTTCCTCTTCAACACTTTCTTCAGGCCCATCTCTGGCATCACTATCATGAGATGAGGTGGTCTGAGAGGGGCTCGAAGGCCCACCCAGCAGCTGAGGAGGGAGGGAACGGAGCAGCTCTTCCAGTGGCAGTTCTCCCTCACGTCGAAGCAGCTCAATCTCACGCCTCTGAGTCTCTGCATCATTGCCTTCCTGTTGTTCTTCAACCTCAATGGTCTCCTCATCATCTTCCTCCTCCTCCTCTTGGGGTTGGAAGTCCCCATCTATAGCAGGAGAACAAGGTCACAAAGTCCACGGGCCCTGCAAGCCACAGGGTGGGTTTTTCAGCTCTGGAACAGGTACATAGGGAAGAGTAACAGAGCCAAAGAAAACACACACCTTCCTCATCCAGTCTGGAAGCAGAAGGTAGAGGACTGGAGGCAGCTGAGGAAGAACCAAGGCAAGGGGAAGAGCCAGCTTTGCTGGAGGCTAGTGGCTGGTTGAGGCTTTGCGATAGAAGGTCTGAGTACTTTTCAGTCTGACCCACAATGAAGTCCAGGTGTAGGTCTAAGGCTTTTTTGCGCTTTTCCTCAAGGCGAGACTGCTGTTTGAATTGTACCACCTGCCATAATCATGAAAAGAGTAAGTCACAAAGATAACTATATACTTTTATCCAATGTTTAACATATTCCCGCCAGCTTTAACTGTTGGTACCACATGTATGACTATTCCATCAGGCGACTTGAACCATGAGTGGCTAGCTATTTAATATAAGATAGCAAAATTCAAACCACAGCTGCCTGCCAGTGAGATACAGGGAGTCTTCCTCATTCTACACCAGAGGCCAGCCATTCAGGAAAGAACAACTACGTAATTTTAAAGACTGCTTGTGGTGGCATGTGCCTCCAATCGCAGCACTTGGGAGGCTGAAAACAGGAGAATCACTGAGTCGATCTACGTAGTGAGAGCCTGCACTACATACAAAAAATAAATAATTTTAAGAGGCTTGTGGTTTCATAGGGTGCTTCTGAAGAAAGCACAAAGGGAAAAAATGAGAGTATTAGCTAGCTTGGAATGATTTAAAAATAGCTCAGCAAATTACAAGTGCCTGCTTAGGCAAACCCAGTGGCCAAGGTTCGATCCCTGCTATTCCGTACTGTGCCCTGCCAGCCCCACCCCCGAGGCACACTGAGATGGTGATTAAGACTGGGCATAGTGGCAGGCACCTATAATCCCAGCTCTTGGGAGGCTGAACACAAGAAAATCACTATGTGAGATCCTATATGCCCTGCCTGCCCGCCCTTAGCATGCGCTGAGAGGACAACTGAGATTGGGTGTGGTAGTGAAGGCCTGTAATACCAGCACTCAGGAGGTTGAAAACAGGAGGATCACTATAAGTCTAATCTCTGTAATATGACCCTGTAGACCCTGTACTAAAATAAAAAAAAAAAAAAAAAAGATGGGACAAGAGGTTTGCCTCAGTGCTAGAGCACCTGTCTAGCACACACAAAGTCCTCAGTTTAATCTTGGAGAAAACAAGAGAAAAACAAGTTTGGCAGCAAAAAGCCATAAGTTTGACCCCTCCCCCACACCAAAGAAAAAGGAGAGAAGACAAAAAGAAAAGAAAAAGGCAGATGTGGTGGCACACACCTATAAACCCGACATTCAGAAGGCTGAGGCAGAAAGACTACCTTGAGTTCCAGCCCAGCCTGAGTCGGGTACCTAGTGAATTTGAGGCTAACCTAAACTATGTATTAAGATCCTAGCTTAGGGGCCGGGGAGATAGCTCAGTGGAATAAGCACTTCCTTGGGAAGCACAAGGGCCTGAGTTCAATCCCCGGTTCCACCAAACAAAAAAAAAAAAGATCCTAGCTCAGAAACATCTCCCCCACCCCCATATACCCATATACACAGAGAGACAGGAATGATGGCACTTACCTGTAATCCCAGCACTTGGGAGGCTGAAGCCTCAGGAGAATTGTTCTAAACTGGAAGCCACCCTGGACTATGAATTGAGCTCAAGGCCAACCTGAACTACACAGTAAGACTGTCTCAAAGAAAACCTGACAGGGGCTGGAGAGATGGCTCAGTGGTCTAAAGCACCTACTTAGAACAAGCTTAGCAAAGCACAGGGACCACGGTTCCATCCCCCAGCACCACATGCCAGCCAGCCCCGCCCCCTGGTGGGCTGAGCTGGCCACACACACACACACACACACACTAAATGTAAAAAAAAAAAAAATTAAAAAAAAACAAAAAGAAAACCTGACAGGACAGAACATATTTCCTAAGTGTGAAGGAGAAGAAAATATTCCCAACAATAGAGAGACCATAAGTAAACTGCCAGGGATTTGCCCCAACTGGATATCGAAAATAAAAAAGCTAGTAGTAAAGAATAACAGGTGAAATGAGAATGTACCATGCACAGGGCCTGGGCTCCATCTTCAAGAGTAAAAAAAAAATGAATAAGCTAATGAATTGCAACCAGGTGTGGCAGTACATGCCCACTGTCCCAGCTACCAGGGACGCCGAGGTGGAGTCTAGGAGATCAGCTTATGTAAGACAAGACCCCTACCTCAAAAAAACAAAATGGGATCTGCAGCTAAGGACATAGTTCAATGGCAGAACACTTCAAAAGCCTGGATTTGATGCCCATCGTGACCAAAACAACAAAATGCACCTGTGCTGAACAAATACAAGCCTTTTTCATCAATATTTCTTAAACAATGCAATGACACAACATTTACATTATATTAATAAGTAATCTAGAGCTAATTTAACGTTACATGTAGATTATGAGTAAATATGCTATTTTACATATACGACTTGAGCATTCCCAGATTTTGATGCCCACAGGGCGTCCTGGATCCACTATTCCAGATACTACAGAACAGTACTTAAAAATATTTACAACTGGGAAATGGAAATTTTGATGGTATTTCAGTAAATGAAATGAGTTTTAATTTTGTTTTAGTTTGATTTTTTTTTTTTTTTTTTTAATTGAGATGCTCTTGTTATATAGCCCAGGTTGGCCTTGCTCTATGATTTTTTTCCGTTGGTTTTTTTTTTTTGCACAACCAGGCAAGTGCTTATTCTACTGAGCCATCTCCCAGCCTCTCACTATGTAACACAGACTAGTCTCAAACTTGTAGCAACCCTCCTGCCTCAGCTTCCTATGTGCTGGGATTACAGCCTGCACCACAACTTCCAGCAAACCATTAGCCAAATAGCTCAGCAGCTTCAAGTGCCTGCTCAGGCAGAAGCAGTGGCCAGGTTCAAGCCCCAGCATGGGGGGTGGGAGGGGAGCGGCACCCCTGAGGCACACTGTGAAGGCAATTGAGCCTGGGCATGGTGGCACGGGCCTGTAATCCCAGCGCTTGGGAAGCTGAAAACAAGACAATCACTACAAGTTAGATCTGTGTAACAAGACCCTGTAGGCCCTGTACTAAATACAAAAAAAGAAAAAGTAGAATCTACCAGGCATGATGGTCACACTTATCACCCCAGCACTCAGGAGGCTGAGGCAAGAGTATCCCTAAAAAGTTTGAGGCCAGCCCGAACTACAAAATGAGTCAAAGCCCAGCCTGGACTATGTAAGACCCTGTCTCAAAATTTAAAAAAAAAAAAAAAAAAAGCAAAAACCAAAAAGCATGAAGTCTCAATAAAATTATGGAACAAAAATAAAAAGCATGTGGGGCCAGGGAGATGGCTCAGTAGAATAAGCGCTTCCCCGGCAAACACAAGGTCCCGAGTTCAATTCCTGGTTCCACCAAAAAAAAAAGGATAAATCCCAGGCATGCTGGCCCGGGCCCAGAACACACTGAGGTGGATACTGGGCGGGGTGGCGTGTTCCTGTAATCTCAGCACTTGGGAGGCTGAAAACAGGAGGATCACTACAAGTCCAATCTGTGTAGTGAGACCCTACAGACATTGCACTAAATACATTAAAAAAAAAATGCATACTATATACCCTGCAAAATATAAATGGCCCACTGAGATCAATCCTCAAATGCATGGCCCATATTTTGCCACTAGACCTTCTCTTAACACTCCATACTAGAACAGTCTCATCCACAATAGATACAACATCAGAATTGCCTAAATGTATTCACTCCCTCAAGAAAAGCTTTTGAGCACCCCTGCTAACATAACATCCTCCAACCTAATCCATGGCCCTTTTGTCTCTCCCAAGCTCACCTACTTACCTTTTCCACATTGCTCCAGAACTGCCTGACATCCTTGGCCATGGTGGAAGCAATTCGGCGCAACTTGGCCTGCTCTTCCCTCCGAGCCCGTTCCTCTTTCTGCCTTTGCTCCTCATGATGTCGGATTACCATGCGCACCACCTATGAGAACAGATTCAGCAGGAAAAAACTCAAAGCCAGACATTTCAACCCACTACACCGAAAGTAAAGAAAGCCACCCAGACCAAGTAATCTAGGATATTAAACCTTTACTCATACGCTATAAGCATCAAAAATGACATACTATTCTATTTAGTCCTATGAACTAAATCCACAAGAAGCACATCAGAAAAGTGATGACAGACCCAGTAGGGACATACCTTACGGGCCACACCCCGCTTCCATCTGCGCTCCTGAGCAAAGTCAGCAGATAGCCACTGCATCTCCTCACAAAGGTAGTCCCAGTGACCTTTGGGGCGTGGCGGCTCCGGCACCTTAGGCAGCCGCTTCAGTGACCAGAAACCCTCTTTCCGCAGCTCAGCAATCCGAGTCTCAATCTCAGCTTCCTAATAAGAAGAGAGGAGCCAGGAAGATAGCTCAGTAGAATAAGTGCTTGCCTGACAAGCATAAGGACCTGAGTTCAATCTCTGGTTCCACCAAAAAAGTAAATAAGTAAAGGAGAGAACTAGGTCCATCAATAGTGTGGGACATGGTACCTGCAGTTCCATCTCCCTTTTGCAGGGTATACAGTGCCACCTCACTGCCATGGCTAAATTCCTGAACACTGACTGGGCCAACTGTTTTCTACTTGCATTTGGTCCAAACCCCAATCCTGCAAGGGTATTATACTCTCTTCAGAGTATAAGAAAAAAAGATCAGGGCTGGGGAGATGGCTCAGTGGAATAAGCACTTCACTGGCAAGCGCAAGGGCCTGAGTTCAATCCCTGGTTCCACAAAAAAAAAAAAAGAACTGAGCTAAGGGGCAGGCCCCCAGATTTTCTAAGGGGCTGGGGAGATGGCTCAGTGGAATAAGCGCTTCCCTGGCAAGCATAAGGGCCTGAGTTGAATTGCCGGTTCCGCAAAAAAAAAAAAAAAAAAAAAAAAAAAGAAAAGAAAAAAAAAAAAAGATCAGAAGATAAAGTGACTTGTCTGAGATCATACTGCTAGGAATCAAAAACAGAACTAAAAACTGCAGGTACCACATCCCACATTCTTTCCACTACTTCACAGGAATTCCACATTCTATGTTACATAGGTGTGACTTGGGAAAATAGACGAGTTTTTAAAGCAGCAGCCAGTGTACACTTCTTTCTTACTAGATACAAGGGATCTTTTTACTGTAAAATTCTATCTCCTCAGAATATGTTCATACTATATGCATTGAGCTTAGACATATACTACACAGGCTAGCAAAATAGCTCAGGGGTCTAAAGTGCCTGCTTAGACAAACACAGGGACTATGGTTCAATCCCCAGCATGTGTGCCAGCCTCACCCTGAGGGCAGGCTGAGCCAGCCACAAAAACAAAAGCAAAAACAAAAAAAACACGACACAGCCTAATCTGCACAAAAGCAATTCTGTTTTTAGAAACACTGTTTTGCATAGCCAAGGATATAGCACAATAGCATAACAATGCCCAACACATGCAAGGCCTTGTGTTGACTCCACAGCATCAAAACCCCAAAACACAAAAAAGAATAAAACCTGTTTTTTGTTGTTTTTGAGAAGGGGTAGTTACTGGGAATCAAACTCAGGGCCATGTGCTTCCAAGTAAGGAACTATGCCTCTGAGCTATGTCCCTCAGCCCAAGACCCCTACTTTTCTAAAAATGCACTTTTGGGGCTGGTGAGATGGCTCAGTGGTCTAAAGCACCTACTTAGAACAAGCTTAGCAAAGCACAGGGACCGTGGTTCAATCCCCAGCACCACATGCCAGCCAGCCCCGCCCCCTGGTGGGCTGAGCTGCCCCCCACACACATTAAAAAAAAAAAAAGTATTTAAAAAAAAAGTAAAAATGCACTTTTACATGAAACACACTGAAAAATTACACATGAAAAGATTAACAACAGACAGGTATAACAAGGTGGTCTTTTTACCAAAAACATCCACTCTCATTAAATTTATAAGGAAAAAGTTAAATCAACTGGCTGGGTGTGGTAACACACCAATAATCAATCCCATCACTCAGGAACCTGAGGCAGGAGGACCACCACAAATTCAAGGTCAGCCCGAGCTGCAAAGACTGTCTGAACAAAATGAAATAACTCTCTGAACTGATTATTTCTGTCCTCTCCTGATAAAATCAAAAGAAAACAGTCAGAGGTGAGACAAGGAACTCAATGGCCAGACTGTCAAAGGAAATAAGAAAGCTACAGGAGCTCTCAAATTTGAGCACATACCAAACATCATTTGCAGCGATCTAAAACAAATTGAAAATTTTTTAAAAAGAGCTGGAGATGTGCCACAGTATGAAATCCCAGGACTCTGCAGATTCTGAGGCAGGAGGACTGCTGAGTGCTAATACCAGCTTGGGCACAAAGCAAGACCTTAACTCAAAATACAAAATAAAACAATAATGAATAAATAATAGATCTGCATTTCAGTGGGTTTGGTGGCACACACCTGTAATCCTAGCACTTGAGAGACTGAGGCAGAAGGATCATTGTGAGACTGAGATCAACCTGGGCTACAAAATAAGCTCAAGACCAGCCTGAGCTGCACTGTAAGACCCTGTCTCAAAAAGAGAAACAAAGGGCTGGGGAGATGGCTCAGTGGAATAAGCGCTTCCCTGGCAAGCACAAGGGCCTGAGTTCAATCCCCGGTTCCACCAAAAAAAAAAAAGAAAGAAAAACAAAGAAAGAAATCTGCGTTTCTTTCTCTTTTTCTTATTTTAGGGAAGGATCTATAGGGTATTCAGGGTTTCATTACTAGATCAGATTCGTACTGATCCAACTGTTTACATCCTCCCAAGAGCTAGGATTACAGGCATGCGCAGTCTCAACTGTCCTCTCAGCAGGCCAGCACTGGCAAGCCCCAGGGAAATCTGCATTTCTTTCTTTTTTTTTTTTTTTTGGCAGAACCAGGGATTGAACTCAGGCCCTTGCGCTTGCCAGGGAAGCGCTTATTCTACTGAGCCATCTCCCTGGCCCCAAAATCTGCATTCCTAACAAGGCCATAGTTAATATTCTTGTTCCTGACCTAAGGACAGAAATTAAGTAGAAATCAGAAAATCATAACAGCATCACAGTTTACAAAACTTTTATGTCAAATTCCTCTATTAATCTTCACAATAAATTACACCATGATGCTACTTGCTTATAATCTTAGCTACCGGGGCCGGGGAGATGGCTCAGTGGAATAAGCGCTTCCCTGGCAAGTGCAAGGGCCTGAGTTCAATCCCCAGTTCCACCAAAAATAAAAATAAACCTTTAAAATAAAGCTAGCCAAGCAGGGCTGAGGAGATGGCTCAGTGGAATAAGTACTTCCCTGGTAAGTGTGAGGGTCTGAGCTCAACCCCCAGTTCTGCCAAAAAAAGTTAAAAAAAAAAAAAAAAAAGCTAGCCACACACGCATCTAAAATTTCACTACTGGGGCTGGAGAGATGGCTCAGTGGTCTAAAGCACCTACTTG